GACGACAACCAACTCAGAACCTTGTTTCTTTGGGGGCGAGAGCTTTGTGTTTGCCCAACTCCATCCATGTCTTCATGTAAATCCATTTAACGTAAATTAAATCCCATCAGCATACTTGTGAGACATCCACTCTCTGCTGTTGAGGAAGCAGAGGCTCTGATTCACAAAACTGGGAAGGCAGGCTCATGAAACACGGATCATGAAAAGTCCCCTTCTGCTCCACTGGGTAGCCCCCCTGACGAGCCAAACCCAGAGAGGAGGTGTGATGGGGGAGGGGCATTGTCAAGCCTACAGTTCTGGGCCTAAAGGAGCCCAGGGAGGAGCCCCAGGGTGGGGAGGGGAGCTTGTTTAGGTGAGGATGGTGAGGGAACAACCTTCGCGGTTGGTGACCTTTGGGGAATTGAATGATGGGAGGCTGGTATGCAGAGATCAGGCCAAAGGGTGTGAGTGTGAGCATGTGAGCTTGTGTGTGTGTGTGCCCGCACACACACTAAGGGCAAAGGCCCCAAGAGACACAGATATGCTGGGTGTGTTCAAGGCATGGCAGAGGCCAAAGTGAATTGAACGAGGGATGGGGGAGGGGATGGAGGACCTCCTAGGGCCAAGTCCCTCATGCCTTTATTGTTGCTTTCAACACATTTAGGGAGCATCAACCGAGTGTCCCTGTCCCACCTGTCTGCTGTGTATTGAAACCATTAACCAAACCAAACCACACTCGCTGCCTACTCATGGCGACCCTCCAGGAAGGGGTCAGCAGTCCTTGTGAGACCGCCGCTCTTCCTGCAGTAGCAGGCCGGGACTTCGTGCCGAGGAGCGGCCACTGGTCAGGACAACTGAGACCTGCTATCCGAGTGGGGTTTCCCCTCCGGTGGCCATGCCTGCGGAACCCAAGGGCGCGGGCAGCTGGGGACAATGACTCCTCGTCCCTCCTCTCCCCTCTTCTTTAAGATGGCTGACCAAGGCCCAGCTCGGTGGGCGGAAGAGAGCGGGAACGGGGGGATCTGAGTTCTGGCTGGGCACCTCCTGAAGTGACATTGGGGCTGGTGTGTGTGTGTGTGTGTGTGTCGCGGGGGTGGGTGTGCGGGAACGGGGTGAAAGGGGAGTTGGCTTGCAGTGTGACCCCTGTGGGGCCCTTCCCTTCCTAGGAATGAGTGAATGAATGAGCGTGGTGGGGGACGGAGCTCCAGGGAAAGGGGGCAGTCTTCCGGGTTGGGGAGTGCCCCCAAGCCCCCACGTGGGAGGTGGATCCACCGCAGCGATTCCCCCCTC